TTCTCCGTGAACATAGCAAACAGTTGTATGCTTTTCGTATTGAAACCCATCGACACGACTATCGACGACGAGAGATACACCAGAGATATAAAGTGAGTGAACATGAGATTTGTATTTCTTAATACACATATATTACTCTATAAACTGCTAAGAGGTGTATAATTTGTTATATTTGTTTCACCCGATTGTCTGCTCTCTCTCTCTCCGATTCTTGTCATATATCGTACGGAATCTTATTCTTTTGAGTACAGAATCTCCGGATCTCTGTTTTTCGCTATACTTTTGCCATTAAACAGTCGCCAATAATATTAGACTCATCGACTCATCGCTTATCTCTCCTTCTTATATACCGCTAAGAAACTACAGAATATTCCTATTGTATTGAGCTATATATCTATATGCAGTCAACACACATATATAGCCAGAATCGGACAGATAGTGACAATAAGACACAAATATATTATCCTTTTTGTTGTTTAATCTATTCATTCAATTATTAAATACTCATTCACACCATATTATTGTTCATTGACTTGTAAATATATGAATGTCTTGCAGTTATAGTCCTTAGGAAAAGAAATGCTAATAATTATAGCGATTCCTTACAATAATCATTATTTTTAAGCAGTTATTCTGTCGTTTCTTATGTCTATCTCTCGCACAGTTGAGACGCAAACTGTCGGCCAAGAACTCAGAGTGCGATAAACTCAAGCAACAAATCAAAGACATTAAACTTGAATGCGACCGATATAAGCAGGTTATGATCCAATTGAATGACACCATCGTCACCGGCAATGGACACGGAACTGGTCAGTGATCAACGCATTCACCACCACTCATACATACCAACCATCTGTCAATTATAGCATAATATAGCAAATATTCTGTACATTATGTAGCATGGTAGTTTATTATATATTAGGTATTAGTTATATAAATTAAGTCTTAAGAGGATTGACAGATATTCACATACTATACCATACTTTTAGCACTGATATGACAACCATATGTCAGTAATACATAACATTTTAATCCAATTCCTCCGTATCTGTAATACAGTTGCGACAGGACTGGTGTGTAATTGTAGCTGAAATTCACGATAAGATCTGTCAATACTGTACTCAAAGCTCAGGTACTATTCAGACGTCAATAGCTGTCAATAACCGGGTGATATAAGTCATAATTAGACTGAAAACTATTTAATTGACGTTAATTTCTAATCAAACACACGATAACATAGTTTACATTGTATCACACATTGCTGTCAATACACAATACACATAAGAAATAATTGTATTTATTGTTTGTAATAATGGTGTCCATTATCTTACCTCAGGAGGCAAGTCCCGCAAGAACCAGAGCCACGGGTGCCACTCGTGCTGTCACGCGGACAAGCCATACATCTGCGAGTGGGATAACTGCGGCAAACGATTCCGGTCGAGACCACATCTGGACGCACACAAGAATATACACACCGGACGCCGGTTCCCATGCGATTGGCCTAATTGTGGCAAAAGTTTTATGAGAAAATACAATTTGGTTGAACACACGAAACTCCACTCCAGTGTTAACCCCAATGTTTGCGATTTTCACAATTGCGGCAAATTTTTCTCAAGTAATTCGCAATTTCTGTCGTGATCTGTAGTTCCCTTTTAATGTCTGTCCACTACATTCATGTAGTCTTACATACTTTTAAAAAATATTCTTAATTCTTGTTATCAAGAATTATTTTACTTAGAATATCTGTAATTAGTTACTTATTTTATAATTCAAAAGTTTTTCCATTTGAATGAAAAGTTTGTTTAAAACTTTATTTCATTATACAGCATTTGAAAAGTTACTAATTTTTTATTTTTGTTTGATTTGAAGGTAAATACAGTTTAATGAGACACCAGAGCGCACAACACGACCCAAACCGAAAGGAGGGACACCTGACCAGCGCTCAGATGGCAGAGCTGTTTAAGACAACGGAATAACAGCCCGTGTTTTTGGTCTCAAAAATTTTTGCAACAAAAAACTCAAACAAATGCACATATTTTTAAACTTTATCCGATTCTGCAAATCAGAAAACATACAAAAATTCGATAAATGCTCTAAAATTAACTTATAATTCACTCATAGATTAGATAAATAGTACTCTTACATTACACATTGTTTTTGTACACGTATATTTATTTCTTATCGATTAAACTATGTTGAAAACATTTGAATTTAAGTGTACACTAAATAATTTATGAATTCATGTACACTATTGGCATTGTATTATATTTTATTATCTATACAGTACTATAGATTCTATAGATATGCCACGAGTTTGCATGAAATGAATCTCTATCTGAAATTAATTAAATATTTAAATCTCAAAATTCAGATATAAAAATAGAGTTATAAAACATTATAATTGGATCGCATTACTGAATATGTGTACAAATATAAGAAGGGTCTATTTTTATGGCATAACTTATAGACAAGAATTAATGGATTTTAAATACTACAAATGAAATTAAGATTTCATTAATACAATGCCAAACATAAGTCATAATTACAATAAAATACTAAACAGTTTGACTCTATTATTACAAATGAATTAAAAGCCCGAATTGTGACCAAATAATGTGATTTTACGATAATTGTAGCCAAAAATATATTTAATGATACCGTAGCTCTCATCATTTGTTAACATGTGTTTAGTTTTACACTCAATTAATGACAAAAATATTTATTTTACATTAGATATAAAGACACATTCAATTTATGACAACTACAATATATTGTCACATTCAATACAGTGATTACAGGAGTGGTGTCCAAAAAATGAAAGCAAAGTTCGCGATAATGTATAAAGTGATCACTTTTGACTTCAAATTATCGTAATATGTCATTTTTTAAACATAAACAACCATGTTATTAACCCCTTAAATTGATTATTTAACGATTATATATGTAGCTCCGGTATTTCGTTCTGGAAACCAATATTTTTATTGAATATTCTGTAATTAAGTGGAATTTGTTTTTCACAAGTATTGGAATAATAAGTACTGAACAATAATATTTGTATACTCGAGTTACATAGTAACTATATTGAATACAATATAATTTATAATTTAGTAACCAGGGTACTAACTATAGTAACATAGTCACTTGTTGATCATTTTTAACATCTTTTAATATTTGCGAGTTTTGTACTATATTTTGGACATTCCTTCAATGATTACAATATTTTGCATTAATGTAACAAAAAATTACAAATTCAAACAAAACAAAAAGCAAACTTTTGTTTAAAGGTATTATATAATTTATTATATTTTCTATAGTATTATAAAATACTAATTTAATGCAGAGATAATTTTAAGTTTTATAATTATTCAAGAATAATTACTTTATCCTTAGATTTGAAATTTGTGTTTTAGATTGCTTTCAGTTGTGCACACATTCTCGATGTATGACATTATAAATAGACATATTCTCATTACTAAGAGACCATATGTGGAAAAATACAAGAATTTTTTTCGCCACTCATAAACAATAATTCTATTGTTTTTCTCGCATGAATATAAATTTATATTCTCTCTTATTATTATTATTTCTATTTTAATATAATTACAAAAATAGTCACTTTTACGGTATTATATCACTATTCTAACTTATATATGATCTTGTGTAAAGACTTTATACTGCAACTCATTGATTAGTTATCATATACAGTAATTGTAATTATAAAATAACAATAAAAACAATAATGACTGTATTTAAAATAAAGTGTGTAAATATTTCAATTATTTTTTTAAGAGTCTCTCTCTCTCTCTCTCTCTCTCACACACACACACACTTGATAGTGAGTTATTAAAAATTCCTTAAGTTATGAAAAACATTCGTAACTAAAAATAATTAAAAATACTATTCAACTCGATAATATAAATTGATAAACATTATTATAAGTATAGAATTAATTGATAAATAAGTAATTTAATTATAAATTAGGCAACATAGAGGGCATAACATAAAATACCTGTGCTTTAACACTTATATTTTACTTATAGTAGTTAGGTTTTATTTAAAATTTATTAAAAATAAATAAGATAAAATATTCTTTGCTTTTATTAAATATAATTTCTATTTTAGGAATATTAGATAAAAGCCTTTTATTTCGAAACTTTAAAAGCAAATACCCTATTGATCTCACACAATAACCTTGTTTCTAAGCGTAAAAAGAAAATAATTGTCTAAAAATACCCTGTTAATCAATAGTGTCTATATTTCTTATTCCTGTCGATTCTATAGCCTATAGACAAAAAAATATTTGTGGGCAACAGAATTCATTTAAAAAATACAATCCGTTAATCTCCACTTGTCTTTCATGGCCTACCAGTCCCTACATCAGAGTCTATAGAAAGAGAGTGTGTGGGAGAGAGACATCGAGAGAGAGAGAGAGAGAGAGAGAGAGAGAGAGCCGGTACTTGAAAATTCTTGCGCCAATCAAACATACCTATAGACCCATATGTCGGGTCAAAAGTAGGCACTGAAATGGATAGCCCTCTACAGTAAACAACTCAGCAATCAATCAATTCTTATGTTTGAAAATTAATTGTCATTTCGATGGTGAACACAGAGATGGATATATGTAGTGTAGATATTGTCGTCTGTATTATAAGAATATATTGATTTGGGTTTCACAATACATTTCAGACACCGGCTGTACTTACATTATATGGTGTGTGGGAGCTATTGGTTTGGGCTTTTGGTGCGCAACTCACTTGAATACTGATTGCATACACAACACATTACATACGAGTCTTACTAACTGGGATATACATACACTCCACCACCACATCGCCAGCCTGTATGCCAGTGCACTCACACACACACTATCTTCTCCGTGAACATAGCAAACAGTTGTATGCTTTTCGTATTGAAACCCATCGACACGACTATCGACGACGAGAGATACACCAGAGATATAAAGTGAGTGAACATGAGATTTGTATTTCTTAATACACGTATATTACTCTATAAACTGCTAAGAGGTGTATAATTTGTTATATTTGTTTCACCCGATTGTCTGCTCTCTCTCTCTCTCTCCGATTCTTGTCATATATCGTACGGAATCTTATTCTTTGAGTACAGAATCTCCGGATCTCTGTTTTTCGCTATACTTTTGCCATTAAACAGTCGCCAATAATATTAGACTCATCGACTCATCGCTTATCTCTCCTTCTTATATACCGCTAAAAAACTACAGAATATTCCTATTGTATTGAGCTATATATCTATATGCAGTCAACACACATATATAGCCAGAATCGGACAGATAGTGACAGTAAGACACAAATATATTATCCAATTTGTTGTTTAATATATTCATTCAATTATTAAATACTCATTCACACCATATTATTGTTCATTGAATTGTAAATATATGAATGTCTTGCAGTTATAGTCCTTAGGAAAAGAAATGCTAATAATTATAGCGATTCCTTACAATAATCATTATTTTTAAGCAGTTATTCTGTCGTTTCTTATGTCTATCTCTCGC